TTCTACTTTTAAGTATCTTTATTTTATCATGCTCCTATGCCCACGGTATTCTAATTCTAATTGCTTCAGCCTTCGTAATATTAGAAAAATGAAAAATCCTACATACAATCCAAATAAGGCCCAAACATTGTAGACCCCTTTGGGTTACTCCAGGCAGTAGGAAATGGAATCAGTACTGGGCTGTTCAGTACTGAGCCTCTTTGGAAGGTGAATCCAAGCTGGAATAGAGCAGGCACCAGCACACCAATCAGCTGTGCAGCCCTGTCTCATTCCTCAAGGATATGTGCCTGAACATAAAGAATCACTGTGGCAAAATGAACAGGGAGCTGTAACGTGCAAAGTGAATCTCCTCCTCAAGCTTAATTCTAGGAGCAATCATTACAATTTTGAGCAACCACTGAATCACGCCTTGAACAAGAATAGGAATTAACACCCTCACTATCATTCCACTCATCTCCAAATCTGCAAATCCCACCACCCACGAGCCACTGAAGCCATAATCAAACACTTCCCCAGTACAAGCAGCTGCCTCAGCATTCGTTGTCTTTTGAAGAAGAACCACTGTGACATTAACAAATTAAACCACGCAACGTCCTGCCCCTACTGACAACAGCAACTGCAGTCTAACTAGTCCCAGTCCCTTTCCATTCCTGATTCACAGAAGAACTTAATCCCTAATCACTGCTATCAACAAAAATTAAATTCACTGCCACCCATTCTTGTCCTAAATCACTCTACTCAAAATTATTAAACACCATAATCCTTGCCTCAGCAGCTCTAGGAGACTGAACTGGACTAAATCAAACACAGATTTGAAAAGTCTTAAGCATTCTCACTTGGGTTGAATAGCCTAATAATTATTAAGACAGTAATAGCCAAACCCCCCTACTAACTTTCTACTTATCCTTCTTTATAACTGCCACAGCAGTCCTCGCTCTCAACACAAACAAAGCTCAAAAAATACCAATGATAATGGCCTAAAGAACAAAAATATGGGTGAGGGCACAGGAGACAGAGACTACTCACCCCAAACTTCAGGTGGTAACAGAAAACTTCACTTTCCCAATCCCTCCCTTAGTAGAGCATTTGAAAGACCCAGTCTGGATGCTCTCATTGGTGTGAACCCCACTCCCCTTCAGGTCCTGGCCAGCGAGATGGCTGCAGCCTTGGGAGATATTTGGTTGGCCAACACCCTTGTCAATTTCTGTAACATCCACATACACACTATAATCTCAATATTACTCTTAGGCTTCCTAGCAGGACTTCCCCTGCTACCAGGATTCCTGTTTAAATGACTTATTATTGAAAATCTTACTAAGTACATAATGACCAAAACAGATACAGTCATTGTCATACTCTCACTACTAGGGTTGCTCCTGTGCCTTCCCCTCACATAATATTCACCAGACACACTGCCACCACTCCAAAGAAAAGCCCTAACTATAATTCTAACCAAAATCCATAAACCTAGATTACCGTATCGCTAAAAACTAACAAAAATAAACCCTAAGAATGGAAACTGCTACAGTTAAGTTTAAATATAACTCTAGCATTAACCCTAACGACTATATCTCTATCCCTAAAAATATTTCAACTAACCCCTCACATTAAATTTAAGCCCAACACTTGTCCTAACCCTAAATGTAACCAAAATGACTGTAAATCTAACATTAACTCCACTACCTAATGCTATCCCTATAAACAGTAACCCTAACCCTGAACTCAAAGCTAACTCTAACTTTATCCCTCATGACTGTAACCCTAACCTTAAACTCAAGCCTAACCATAATACAAACCCTTCACCTAAAACCCTAACGCTGACCATAACACTAACCCTCTCTTTAGCACTATTTGCTTTACCTAAACCTAATGACTCAAACAAAACCCCACACAAAGGGGCTACAAAGGGAAGGTGAGGACTCACAGAAAGTGCCTCACCAGTACCCTTGGGACCATGCTCCCTCAAGTTTGCAGAATCCTGGGACTAAGGACCACAGAGCCTACTGGGCAGGCAGCCCTGAGTCCCACCAGCACGGGGTTGGGCGTGATGCTGGGTGCTTTGGTGCCTGGGATTATGTAACCACCAAGTCCTCTGAGCAGGGATCCCTGGAGGATGATTTTGATGATCTCTTCGGAGTGACTGGGTAGAATTTTTCCAATCCTTCTTTTGTTGGCAGCAGAACAAAGTGCTGATTATGTCTTTTGATCCTGGGTTCCTGATCTGCAGAGCAATGCCCACTAAAAGGTGAGCAACAGACTCTCAGCTAGGAATTACGTTGTGGGGTATATTGCTCATTCTAAATGGTAAGGCACTAATAATTTTCTTGTTGGGAATGCCTCCAGTGGATGGAGGGAAATGTTAATGCATTCCAGTTGCTTTTCAAAGCTGGCAATGTGGGAAGATGGGTAAGTTTGGTGTGTGCCTCAGGGGGATTTGATTTTCAGTGATAATGGGCAGTGAATTAAATTGTGTTATGTTGATTGTTATATAACACTGTACATTACTGCTTCTTTCACTTATGTTCCTGACATGGCAGTCTAGTACAGTGCAAAAATTCATCCTTCCTCCAGTCACTACATCTCCAAAGGATGGTATTTGGAGACAAAGCCTTCCATTTAGAGACTAGGGTCTCACCACAGACTGCCTCTGGAATGCTACTTTTTTTGTTCCAGACTGATGAAATTTGGTTTTCCCCTCCTCCTGGAGAAATCCACAACTTGCTGAATTAATTCTCTATGCCTTCTCAATGAACTATCAATTTTATAGTTTTAGCAGAGGAGTTGGCAGTTTGGTGCAGTTAATTTGCATTTCCATCTCTTTCCCAAGGGCTGAGGTGAGGCTGACTGGCCTGATTTCCTGTGTTGTCCTTCTTGACAATGGATATATATCTGCCTTCTCCCAGTCACTGGGAGCATCCTCTTCAGTGATGTGACCTTTTAAGGATGATGAAACGTGGCCTTGTGGCATCTGCCAGCACTTTCAGTGCTCTCAGGTTCACCCCATGTGGTACAGAATCACAGGAGTTGTTGTGGGTCACCGGGTCCAACCTCCATTCTCAAGGAGGGTGGTCCCAGAGTGCTGGAATCCTGGATGCTGAGAATTTTAAACTTGCTGTGCTTAAAGGCACAGACCCACAAGAGAACACTGTATTTGACCTGAGGCTGTGAAGAAGGCTTCCAAAATTGATTGATAGCACTGGGATTACAGGTGTGTAGTTGGTTAGAAGTGTGTTATATCACAGGGATAGAGTTTGGGATTTTAGAATATAGAAATAAATATGAAGCAAGATGGAGGTTTTAGGGTGGAGGCAGGTTGTTCTTCTTTACCTTCTTCTTCCTTCTTCATGGGTTTGGGTGGCGTTTTGTAATTGGGCAGAAAAGTCTGCATTGTGGGCTTCAGGGATCAATTATTGGGTTAAAAGGGAAAATAATCTAGCTGTCCTTTCTTAATTGGATGGTTTAGCCTTAAAAGACCTTGTACCAAGAGATAGTTAGCCATTTTGTGCCTTGCTAATGAAAAGCTGCTGAACTCCCGGCTGTGAGACTGTTTTACTGATCAGAAATAATAAACACCTGAGTCCAAACATGAGCTACCGTATCCAGTGCCTTCAACCCAGACCCAGAGAAACTGATACCAGAGCATGTGGTACAGGAATGACAACTGAAGAAGCTCTTCTTGTTGTCCTTGACTCCTTGGCCAGTGTCAGGCAGGTAGTTTGGCTGGGGGAATGACAACTGAAGAAGCCCTTCTTGTTGTCCTTGACTCCTTGGCCAGTGTCAGGCAGGTAGTTTGGCTGGCACAGTACAAACTGTCCTGTTTGTCCTAACACAGATGTCCTGCGGGCTCAGGGAGGACAGAAACCTCCCACAGAGAGGAGAGCAAGGTTTGATCATGATGTTCAGTGCAAACACTCCATGAGAGCAGAGATTCACAATCCTGACTCTGGGTTTTAAGCAGACATCCAGGAGACATTGAAGGAGGAACTGCAGGCATGAGTCTCCACCACATAAGCACCTCAGGCATCTAGGATGTTCTGATCCATTCCCAACACCCTGGGGAATTCAGGTTGCTCCTGCAAGGACTGGTCACACTGGGGAAGACAAGGCTGTCTGAGCACCCCCACCACATCTCTCCCCCAAGTGCCCCCGAGGAAAGGGCCCAGAGAGGTGTCACAGGGAACCCATTGCCACATATGGGGAGCAGGGTTGGGATTTCCACCGTGACAGACTCTGCAGGACTAGGAGCTACCAGCTGCAGGGAAGTGGAAGAACCAGTCTTCCCTCATGGTCTGTCTGGCAGTTTCTCCCTGTCCAGCAACCCCACATCCCTTCCAGATGATATCCAAGGCCTAAGAGCCCTGTATCTCCAAAACAATCCCCAAATCACCCCTCAAGCCCTGATAGCAGTCCCACATATGCCTTTTGCTAGGCACCACCTCCATCAAGATGCAGGCATCCTGTCTTACAGCTGGGTCCCAAAAACACCAGCCATACTCTGTCTGGTCTGGTCCCCTGCCCTCTTTCCCACTGCTCCCCACACCCTCTCACTGTTCCCTGAACTGCCCAGGAAGGAAAAGCCACTTTGCAGGGCAGACCGCGTGGTCTGGGTGAGGATTCCAAACCCAGATTTGTGATTTCTAGCTAATTTCACAAATAACTTCTGGGATAAGCACATCCAGGTCACGTTCTCACTTGAGGATATCCTGCTCTCCCTCCACTCCCCTGTTCCCCACAAACAAGAAGGCTCGTGCTAGAAGAAAACTATTTTTTTAACAGAACTTTTTTTCAACCCTCGTTCCTCATGTTTTTTTTGTTTCGTTTTTTTTTTTTTTCAAAGATACAGTGCTCTCCCTCCACTCCCCTGTTCCCCACAAACAAGAAGGCTCGTGCTAGAAGAAAACTATTTTTTTAACAGAACTTTTTTTCAACCCTCGTTCCTCATGTTTTTTTTGTTTCGTTTTTTTTTTTTTGCAAAGATACAGTATTATCTGAACAACCTCTGCATATATATATATATATGTATATAAAATATATGTGTGCGCATATATTTATAAACTTAAACAATCCTGCAAACTTCTGTCAATCATAGTAGCCCTTCCTGCTTCATAACAGAGAAGAAAACTCCAACAAAGGGCAAAAATGCAGCTCCTCTCAACCAGAGGAACCGAACCACATCCATCTGTGGCTGGAGAGAATCCCACCAGCTCCAGCTGGGAAGCTTTGAGTGTAAATGCATCTTTTTACAGCATTTCTAGACACTGGCCATTGCTAGACAGTGCTGTGATGGGACATGTGTCACCTGCCCTGTGCCCAGCCCTTGGGGACAGCACACCAAGGACAAGGAGCAGCCCTTTAACAGGTGGCAAGTGGTCCTTACTCTGCAGGTGGGCTTTCTAACTCAATTAAATACCTACAGGCAGAACTAGAGACAAGGGAAAAAGGCAAAGAGATGTCTTTCTGAGAGAGGTGGCCACAGTAACACAGACCAGCTGTCCAGGTCACGTTCCTGCACATTCAAGAGTCACTGAGCAAGAAACCTCCCAGAGGAAATATTTTGTTCCATCTGAGAGCTCCTCCCTGCCTTTGAGGAAAAACAGTAACACAAACTGGTTGACAAAAAATAGAGGCAGAGGTCCAAGGTGGCAAGGCTAGGTGACAGAACGCTTCTAGTGTTAGCTACGATAGCTATCATTATCATCAAAGTAAGAATCACAATCTGAATTATTATCAATCATGAAGTTGTCTTCATCAAGGTCGTCATCATCATCATCATCATAGTCTTCCTAGCACTGTGGATCATATTCCTCATCTTCAACCTCCTTGCCACCTTCATCTGTGTTGGGGGAGTCACACAGGAGGATGCGTTTTTGCCTGTTGAGAAGAGCATAAAAGCAGAGTCTCTCCTGTGAGCATCAGCTGGGACCCAGCCCCAAAACACCCTACTGTCATTGTCTCAGCATCCCCAGCCAAAGAAACTCAAGAGAGTCCAGGGAGAGCAACTTCCATAACTGAGTGTGCCAGTGATGGAGTTTTCTTGATCATAGCTGCCTACAAACAGAGGTTTTGCTCGTTTCCCTACACCACTACATCACTTAAATTGCTACCTCAGGGGGAAACCACAAAACCACAAAACAGGATGCAAGTAATCAGTGTTTGTCATTCACTCTTTTGTATGTCAGTGAGCACAGAAGAGAACTCTGCTCACCTGCTTTTTGTCTGCACTCACTCACCTTTCCCTGTTACCCCACAAGAAAACTCACCCTGTACATGCAAGGGCTGAAGCAGGCACATTTGCAAGTTTCAGCTTTCTCTGAACAGCATCTCCTGCAGTCTGGAGCCCAACATGGAAATCCTGTTAGCAGCAAAGAACAGCCAAAAGAGACAGAAACACTATGTAATTCGGGGTGCATTTTGCACCGCAAACCCCTACCCTGCACACACACAACCCTGAGTCTATCCCCTCAGCTGACCAAGCCCTTTAGTTTGCCCACAGTCAAATCAGACCAGAGCAAGACAAGCCACAAACAACCACATGGCCTTCACCTGTGTGGAGTGCCAGAGAATTGCAAAGAGACGCTCCTTGATCTGCCGCACCAACTCCAAACCCGTGTGGAAGTGCTCTGCTTTCAGGAGCTGAAGAGAAGTGGCCAGGTCCTGGTACTGCAGCAGGGTTTCCTCTGCAATTCAAGGCCAACAAAGTCATGCTGCATCCCACACTCCTGAGTAGAGACCAAGTCCTTGGCTCTGGTTATTAAGCCAGCCATAGCTGCTTAGACCTCCTGTGCAAATTCCTCTTTCAGAACAGAATGTGTTGCTCATTACTGCATCAATCTCCACTGGCAGCCAAACTGCTCCAGTGGACTTCCTCAGAAATGACATCAAGCAGGCAAGGGCTGGACTGGGAGAAGTGAGGCCAGCTGGGTGTTGGTATATATGCCCCACTGCTGAGCTGCTGCTCTTTGACTACAGCTAGACATGCTAGTCACAACTTCAAGGAGGCTGCAGGACTTACCCAGAAGGATCTGCAGAGCATTAGTGAGCAGCTCCAGGCTATCAGTCTGCTGTTCCACAATATCCATGTTCTCAGTGTCCTGGTTATAGTAGCTGTACACACAGGAGTAGGCCAGCACCTGGAAAAGTACACATCCTCTTGTTAAGCACCCTCTTTCAGCTTCAGAGTGGGCAAGAAGGGAGCAGCATCAATCCCCTCCAGACCTCAATACTATCAGTGGCCATAGCCCAGTGACCCATTATGACAAGTGACAGCAGTGCTCAAGCAACTGGTAGGATTGGAAATGAATGTGTAATTATTTTATATTAAAGTCTGAAATAACTGATTTTTCCCACCTGCAAACCATCACAAGAACACAGACTGTAAATGCCTAACAAGTGTGACTGACCAGTGGGCAAAGAGTCAAACCCATCAGCACACAGGACTAGGCAATGCGGGGCAGCCCAGGCTGAACAAAAGTGGCAGTGAACAAAGAGAATGGAGCCCAAAGGGAAGCAGGCATGGTGCTGTACAGCACCAAGAGCCCACAACAAAGGCATTTCAACAAGTGGTAAACTCCAGTTATGAATTAATGACCCCTAAAGCCATATAGGCACCCAGCAGGGAATGAGATCACTGTTTCCATTTAAATAAATGAGCTAGAAAACTCAGCAGCAGCAGCAACAAGCAACAGTGATATGTACCCCAGAAATATCAGGGGCTACTACACTGAGAACACAAAATAGGGTCAGGCACCCTTGTCCCACATGCCTCTCTCAAAATCAAGCCTGCCTGCAAAACCAAGGTGTATATGCAAAGTCAGCACTGCAAAGAAAATTGCCACCTGCCGATGTTTCAGGACAGAGCAGGCATTGCAGACCTAAGATGTCACAGGCTTACTGCACACACACAGTGGCTGCACCACAAATCCTTTTTAGTGTGGCTATGAGGACATAAAGTGGGTAACTCACTGCTTCCAAAATATCCATATTTCATGAAATGAAGTTAAGAGAAGAAAATCCTAACACGAACATCAAGAGGAACTTCTTGACTGCAACACAGCATCAGGAAAATTTTCAAAGTAACTTCACTGGGCATTTCTAATAGGAATGGACCAAACCCAGTGGATGAAAACCATAAATATTGACTTTGTGTTGATTCCACGGTGTCAGCTTGAGCTGAGCTCCAAATCCTATGACCTTACTGTCAGGAACACTGGAAACAGAGCTCAACTCAGACTCAAAGCAGGGAAGGGCAGACATGAGCTCTTCCCCTGTCCTGATGCTACTCCTCCCCTCAAGCTTTCTCTGTCTCCTCTTTTTTGGAGAAGAACAAGGTTGGTGTCTCCTCACACCAGCAGAATTAAGTCTAAACCTCAGCAAGACTGTATTATCCAGCCTTACCTTCCGTGCCTGTTCTAGCACTTTGCAGGCATCAAGAACAAAGGTCAAGTTCCTAATTTTTGGCATCTCTCTGATGGAAGAAATGCTGTTCCTCAGATTTACAGCAAATTCCTGCAAAAACCAAAGGAGGGGGAGAAAAAAGTCAGTGTCACTGTCAAGCTCCACAAGATTGAAAAAACAGCACCTTCCACACAAATAATTGCTAAGCATTCTGAAGTGCCATCCCAGAAGATGCAGGCAGCAGAAGAGCACTTAATGCATCCAACTATGACACTTCTACTGTGCCATCACTTCAACCCTTTACAGCACCTCAGCTCTGAGCAGAGCTCAGCCTTCAGTCATCATTGCTTCCAACTCCAGCACCACTCTGAGCCCCTCAACACCACAAATCAGGTGCTGTTTCCACAACAGACTGAAAGAGAGAAAGCAGCCAAGGACTGCTCCTTAATGTCAGAGCCAGGGCAAAATGATGACCCAGTGATCCCAGCTGGGATGTGAAGCCTGCTTCTAAGCAGAGAAGACACTGACACAACAGAAGGTGCCCTGCTCACCAGGGCTGAGCAGCAGTCAGCATCTGCAAAGGAAGGAGGAGGCCTTACCCTTGCATGGTGATGAAAGGTGCATCTCTCGTTGTAATCCTGGAAACGCTTCTCCTGCCAAGCTGCTTTACTCACCTGAAAGGAAAGGTACAGGAACTTGTAGCAATTTCCCTCGAGTACCAGGGCTACCTGGAAATGCCAGTATTACTGGCAAATTCACAAAGTCTAGAGTAAAGGGCCCAAGTGGAGATCCTTACCATCTCTGAGAGGCTACAGGGGTCTCTGAACACAAGCATGAACCAAGGAGATACAGCAAACCACTCACCATAGCAGAGCAGTTGTAATAATCCTTGTGATTCGGCCTCCAGGGCTTGAGGCAGCGCCAGCAGAAGCCATGATTACACTTTGCACATGTCATACTGCAGAAGGACAATGGGAATTGCTCAGTCCTGACAGCAACTTGCACACAGTTCCTGACAGTGCTTCCCTACACCACAGCCAGGAACTGTGCCACTCAGTCACAAACACAGTAACAAACAAAACTGTATACTCACTGCAGGCACCCCTCATTTTTCTCTATCTGAGCCTGGCAGTTTGGGCAGTGCTTCGAAATGAGCTTAGCCAGGTGTTTGCTTTGGGCTTCACTTGTCATTCCCTCATAGTATCCATCATCATCTACCCACCGAGACATGTGGCTGCAGCTGGCAGGATAATGGGCCTGAGAGATAGAGAAAGACAATCAGTCAACCACACAAAAGCACAAGGGTGTGTGCCAAACCTAAGACAGTACAGCCAGTGATCCAGCTCAGCCTCACCTCTGGGAAGTTGCAGTTGAAGCAGGATATCCAGGAGCACTTGGAACAGGCTGCTCCATAACCAAGTCCATCTTTAAGGAGGATCTGATCACAGCCCTGAGGGTTGGTGCACCATGTCAGGTTGGAGCAACACTCAACATAGCGTCTGAGGAGGGCTTTTTCATACTGTAATGGGAAGCCAGGAGAGAGATTTAAGCCTGAGAAGCTGCATGGTCAGGCCTTAAAAGCAGTGTCTGGTGCTCTGGGCTCTGCATCTCACCAAACTGCTCACAATAAAACAGCACTCAGTCAGTTTACCCTTTTGTGTTCATTTTTCTATCCCCACGATGCCATACCTGGAAGCTGTTGCATTTCATAGAATTGCTGTGGTTGGAAAGCATTTCTGGAAATAAAACCTAGTTCAACCTCTCTTAAATCAGGATTGCTCAGGATTGTGTCCAGTTGGATTTTGAATATACCAAAACACAGAGACTAGAAACCTCTCTGCCCAAACTGGTACCATGCAGTGGGTGACACCATGTGTCACTGCCCTTACTATTGGGAAAAAAACCCCAACCCCAACAAACAGTTTTCTTATATTTAAATATAATTCCAGCATTAGATCTTCATACAATAATCTAGTTATTTTGAGCTCAGGATTGGACCAGAAACCTCCACAGATTACTGCAACCCAAAATATTCTGTGACTGTATGTGTGACTCTGCATCAGACATTAACACTCCAGCCACACCACTTACTGCTCAAAAGGAAAACATAACATTTCAGTGAGAGCATCAGAGCAACTTGTTAAAATTACCTGCTATTTATGTCAACCTGCAATAATTATTTCTTTTTATAAAACAGTCACAGCAACAGGCTACTAAATCCTGCTTTCAGACAGGTGTGACTATGGGATTTGCAAAAGCAGTAAGGACTGACTGTCCAGAAATACGCATTAATTCTCCAAACACTTTCTATAAAAAACAAGCCAAAAGATACAACTGTCAAACAACAGAGCAGGGGAAAAGAGACTGTTCTACCCAGCAGTTAACAAAAAGAGTCTGTCATGTGACAGCTACAGCTCTGCCATTCGGTGGGGAAGGCATTCAGCCCTAAAAACTGAAAAAACAGAAAAAGTAGCTTCTGCTTTAGAACAAGCATCTATTGCTGTAGCCTGATGACCAAGGAGTAAGGTAAGCAGAGCTCAGAAAGCCTGGTTCAGATAACTCTGTAGACTCACACAGACTCAGAGTGAAAATTAAGTCTTATGTGGTAATTCCTGCCATCTTCACAAAAACCTGAACTGCTCAAAGTCAGAGACCGATGGAAGAGAAAGGACAGAGGGGTCGCTGATGCAGCAGTAAAATGAAATTGCTCATGTTTTCATTTGGCCTTATTATTATTATTATCATTATTATTATTATTATTATTATTATTATTAAATTGCTTCCAGCACACCAGTAGAGGATACTTGTCATGAGCTGCTACCAAGGCTCTCATCTAGTCCTGAACTAATGATGTCCCTAAAATGTTGCTTGCTAGAGATATATTTAGAGGAAACACCACTGTGTTCTTTTGTTGATGTTATGCTTTCCTGAACAGCTGGTATTGACCATAATCAGAGAAAACAGACAAAATCTGGCTGGCCACCATTATCACACTGCCAGTCTTGGTAACAGGAAGGGGAAAAGCAGCAACAAAATTATCTGATAGTGCTGACCAAAATGTAAGAGAGCTTGGACAGCCAGCAGCCACCCCTCCTGCTTCACCTTGGCTATGATCTCCTCGGAGGACACGATGGAGTAGATGAAGGCTGTGGTGGGCTGAGCACGGCACTCGGATATGGGACAGGTGCAGTTGACAACCATGTTCTGCTCAATGCGAGTTGTGAGATACTCCCTCCAACAGGGCTGGCAGGGCACAAGAGCAGAGATCAGGCCTAAGCAGGGCTGTGTGACCCTGGAAGCCCTCCCCAGCCAGCAGAGGGTGCACAAAAACCCACAGATCAGTACCCCAAACACAAAAGTGGGAATACACAAACCAGGGAGTCAAGCATCACAACAAAGAAGTGAGCTAAGAGAATGCACAAGCTCTGAAAAATCCCCTAATAACAACTTCAGACAAAGAACAGCTGCTCCAAGTAGACAGCAGCAATTCCCTGTCAAGTAGCAGGAACCAAAGGCCCCAGGACCTTCACCTTGCAACAGTAGTGCATGCAGCAAAGGGTTGGTGGCTTCTCAGTGGGACACAGCTGGTTCACACAGACTGGGCAGTGGGTTCCAGGGCTTGGGGGAGGCTGGACATCCTGCACTTGCAGCCCTGAGGAGATGAGCAGGGCCTCACGGTTCTCCACATAGCACTGGATCAGGAAATCCACATTCCACCTACAGTGCATGAGGAGGTGCCGAGCAACATCATCTGGTATGCTCAGAGTATCCTGGACCTGCTGTACTGTCTGGTTCATGAGCAGCTTTGCCTCCTCTGGACTGAGCGTGTGCCCCATTGGCACCTGCAGCATTGCCATGAGATATTCTTCCACCCTGTCTGTGCCAGGATTCCGCCTGACATGGAGAAATGTGCCATGTTCACACAGGGTGGAGACGCACACCTCTCCACACCCGGTGACATGCACACTTACCGGTGCAGGCTGTCTCTGCTGTCCTCCTCCAGAGATGCCTGGGCTGGCCTGCACTGGAAAGTCATCTGTGCTTGGCCACCAAGAGGTGCTGAGGATTCAGCAGAGATGTATTCCAAGAC